CAAAAACAACATTAACAATCAAGCAATACCAATTGGAGGTGCAGAAGAAGGCACTTGGATTACTAGAGAATGTGGTTGCTGCAGGAATAGAAGTATTTCAGTTTGTTACATCTGCAATTGGAAAAATTGTGAACATAAAACGTGCTTGGTTAGAAATAGAAGTAGAGATGAGATCACCAGACGTTTTTACTCTCCAAGTTGGCCTGGAAATTGACGTATTTCAAACTGGAATGAAAGTTTTTATGGTGACTATAAATTTCCATGATTTAAAGGAGAGCATCGGGAAAATAGCAAGTACAATTATAGAAGATGTGGCCGACTTCCTTGTACCATTTAGAAAGAAACGCTCAATTGAATACATTGGATACGAAAATTATTCCAATTTAACAGACAATCTAAATAACACTCTGCATATTTTCTCGTTTGAAAATGAATACATGAAAGAGAAAAATATTTCCGGGGTTTCTAACAGTAACGAAAATGATTTCCGCATTGCACTATTCAAAAGAAAATGTGACATATTCACGCACCTCTCAGATTACTTGATACAAGCAATGTCAATTTTAAAGTCAATTGCTGACACTTCAAAAGAAAGTAGGGACAGTGCGTCATTAGCTATAAATGACATTGATATGATGATGGACAACACCAGTTTTACTGATGTTAATATGAGTGTCGTGAACATAACAGAAGCTCTTGTCAGTTATAACATAACAGCAGATGAAATAACATTCGAACTTTTGAAAATAAATCTGACAGAAACGCCTACAATTAGAGAGTCGTTCAAGGCCTTACAACAGGCGAAAAAACTAAGCATAGATGCATTGACACTTGCCTCTGAATTCCAAATTCTTGGGCCCTGGATAGCAGCTATGGAGAATATTACAAAAGAAGTGTTTACTGAAAAGGAGTGTGTATCATTTGAAGACTGTCTGTTAGTGACTTTTGATAAAATACTAGAACTTTATAAGTATGCAAATCTCCCTGGTGTTGATTCAATGAAAGGTCTAATAAGAGAAAGTCGACAAAGGTTCCATGATATCATACGAAACGATTCACTGAGGCTCGATGACGCAATCAATGTTAGTGCTGATGTACTCAATGTTTTGAATGAAATGGTAAAGTTGAAGATTTTCTGCGTAGAGGCACCTGAAATAATTAATCAACCAAGCAATACAACAACACTTAAAGGTGAAGATATAATGATTACATGCAAGGCAAGTGGTGATCCTAAACCAATCATATCATGGTATAGAAATGACATTTTAATTCTGGGTAATGAGGAAACACTTCATGTGAGAACTGCAAAGACCACGGATGTTGGTTGGTACAGATGTGTAGCTAGCAATCATCTCATTAATGTATCATCCGATCAATGTTTTGTTGATGTACACACAGTACCTCTAATTGAAAATTCACCACAGAACCACACTCTTATTGCTGGACGTGAGCCACCATTTGAGCTGAAGTGTGATGCTTCTGGAAACCCAACACCAGACATTTCGTGGTACTATTCCAAAGACTCTATAACATGGAATAAAATAGCAGGTGTTATTACTGAAAATCTAGTTTTCAATAAAGTGCATTCAACAGCAACTGGATGGTATCACTGCCAAGCTTCAAACATTCATGGCAGGGCAGTTTCCAAAAGTTTGAAATTGACAGTTCTGAAAACGTCACTGGCGATACCTACTGTTGAAGTGTCACTAGCATTCTACAAGTCATTGTCGGCAATCAATCTGCCAGAAATACACTACGACACAAGCGAAAACCTTGATTGTAAATTCATTAATGCTTTCAAAGACTTGATTGAGCTCAAGGAAGATTTGATAATTATTGTAGATCATATAAATGCTACAACAGAACAATCTATATATGGTGATTTAAGATTAGTCTTAATAGAATCGGACAACAATAGAGATATTGATAGTTTAATGACATATGATGAATTGGAGACTCTCTTCAATAATATGGTAGACACATTACAATATGCCATCAGAGTACTGGAATCTGCATCATTTGAAGACAAATATCTGTTTACAGTGGATGGCACTCCTGTGAATATGAAGAGTGGAACATTTCACCATCATGGCATCCTTCCAACGTGTGTTTCTGGCCAAGCCTCTAGTACCCAGTTACTATTCCTATGTGGTAAGTTTGTGATATTGCAAAAAAGAGTGATCAATGTACAAACAAGTTTGATGAAGTTATTCGGAGTATATTTATTAAGATTGATTGTTGTGAATGCAAACATATTTTGTTATTTGTCTATTCCACAGTATATCACACTCAATGTTTGTTAGTATTACAGCAGTATTTTAAAAAGTACTGATTCATTTTCTCTTCTTTTTTATAAAGTTGAATGTGAATCTGGCTCTTACCAGCCAGAAAGTGGTGGCAGTTCAACTGAGTGTGTACCTTGTCCTGTTGGTCATTATCAACCAGATACTGGTAGTGAGTTTTGTACGGTTTGTCCAAATGGATATACAACTCAAGTTGAAGGGTCACAGGGATCTGATGATTGTAAGGGCTAAGTTTTCTCAACAGACTAGAAACTCGGTTCATCGTTTATTTAATATTATTTTTATTAAATTCAAGCTCGATATTTTTATTTTCCGGAAAAAAGGTAATGTAATTTTGGCCGTGGACGAAGACCCAACAGAACCAAACCCGACCATTGAAGTGGAGGTTGGTAGCAACGATTAATGTCATGTTGAATATGTAAATGATAGCTGTGGGGTAAATCTTTGAATATCAGTCATCATACCTTTGATGTATTTACCATGTAAAATGTGCAACTCTATGAACAATCCAAATGACAATAAACAGATTTCCTTTGCGTTTAACATAGAATACTTGTACATCTATTTTGGGGTTTGTGCATTCCCTCATCATGTAGATTTTACTTAGTTTGAAAGCGTTCTAGTCCAAAGAATATGGCTGGATAATTTTACTGATTTAACCATTCTTTGCTGTCCTGGCCTTTTATATTCAATTAACAATGTTAGTAATGCACGAATTCTAAACTAGATGCACTTGTGACATTTCACAAAAGGTCACAATCACAGTTGCCGTTACAATAGTATATTCATAAATCAAAAATTGCTAATACACACGTATTTTGAGTTATATACTAGACCAGATTTATATTTATCTACATAGCTATGCGAAGTGTGACATTTGTATGTAAACATTATTAAATGTTCGAATGTAACCTAGACATTAACGACGTTTATGTCCAGTGCAAACGATTCATGATGTTATGATCAACCTAAATATCGATCAATGCGTTCTCTTTGTTTTATCATAACAGAAATTGAGTGGCGATGGTGACTTTGTTGGCATTAGTCAAATAGTTGCAGCTATTTGTTCAGTTTGCATTGCCTTAGGTACGTTTTAATGTAATTCATAGTTTATATCCCATGCGATGCATCCGAATGATGTCCGAATTATGCAATGATCTTATATCGTATGCTTTTCATTTTAGGTACCGCAATTTTAGTCTACCGCATTTTCATGAAGCGGAAGAAGGGTCGCAAGAAACGAGAAATAAAGTCGGCAGTTTCAACCATAATGACTGCGATGACAACAGGCGAACACATTACTCACGACAACCCCGTCGATATCGACGACAAGTCGCCATAGGCGCCATTAATGCTCAGAATTATTTACGACTTTTTGAAAATGCTAATAATTTCTGTTTCTCCAGTGATTGTAATTTTTATACCGGCTTACTCTCCAGGGGCCCAATTATTGTGTTGGGTCAGTTACAGTTATGCATTTCAATAGTAACGGCAATGATTTCTATAAATTGATAAGAACTCAATTTATTTAACAATAGTATTCAGAATTCCCGCTTGTGTGTGTCCGTATTAACTACTTTTATAAACCTGTTTCTACTAAGCAAATATGTATACAGTATATCTTAAGAAATAAAGACGAATTTGTTTCAATTGCTAGCTTAACTAACATGAATGTTCATTTTGCTGGCCAAGGTATGCGGGTAATTGAGATAAATAAAGTACTGTACTGAAATTAAAAAAACACTGTGATGGGGAAATGATCAAATAAAAAATCTCTTTTATTAAGTATATTCAGAATTTCTACGTTAGAGGACACTGTAGTTATATCGGTTATATCGGTGATTTGATAAGGTAAAATTGTGTATATTTACTATCTATTAGCAATGAGTTATGACGCAAATTCAAACGGAAGAAAAATTATATAGAAAAGTATGAAGGGTAAGTTTGTTTGAGTGACAGAATCTGTAAAGGACAATCTGTAAATCTGTATAGCCGTCAATAATCAAAGGCGTTTACGTTTAATACTGATACTCATTGAAACTCATTATATCTTGTTGTTGGGAAGGAGAGATTTCGACACCGCCAAATAACGCAAAAGCAAAAACTAAATAAGGCGGAGATATGACCAGATTATGCCATGAGAAATGTTGATAGCACAAGCTATTTATAGAGCGGAGGAGTGGTCACCTGTGCATGCACAGGCTTCGAGTGCCAAGCCACGACAACAATAAATAACAACTAAGACTATGACTGTTTCCCCTCACTTCTCATTCAGGTATGAAGAAAAATTTAAGAAGTGCCACTGGATGCAACTACTTAATTGTTAGTGAAACCTCGTTAGAATACATGTACTAAATATTATGTGTGTAAAAGAATTCCTATAAAAAACAACTGATAATTTTGAGTAAAAAATAGTTGTATACGTGGCAACTAACTCTATAAAACAAAGGCACTAAGACCATGATGTTGTTGGTAGGAGTATATGCACGATTGTATGTTGGCTATTGAATGGGAATTTTATTTTTATTTATTTGATAGGCTATTTGGTACTAACACGCCACACATGGACACATTTTTAATCTATACATACACAAACATAATAAACGCTGTAATTATACAACGGAATACAGAAAAACGTACATTTTGACCAACCTAGTCCTGCCTCTGCCCTTATGTCTGCCAATTTCTGCGGTAAGAATGTTCGGCAACGGGCTTATGGAGACAGCAGTGTTTGGTAATAGCTGTCGACGACACGCATGCGCACTTCCTTCAGATGTTATTCGGTTCAATAGTGACACGCGTGGAAACATGGATGAGTTCACGAGGGAAGCCCCAACAAATCCACTAAAAAACGCAAGCATATTTTCTCAACTTATGTTCAGGTAAGTGGTTCTTGCAATTGCACAAACACGCACAGCAACAGTCGTCGTACATAACGATGTATATTTACGTAGATAGACGTCAAGCCACATGAATAAGGTCATCATATAACGTGTGTATAAGTACGTATACGATATAAAAGTTAGTGTTGAACACCAGTGATGCAGCAGTATTTGATTATAGGTGATTTTCAATTCAAAATTCAACTTTAATAACGTGAAATAACAATAACAGAACGATGATATTAAGCTTGTTTTCCCGTATCCAGTGCCAGTGCTAAAGCAGATATAAAGGACACGGTAAAGTTTAAATTTACGCAGACGTGACTAGTTTGGGCTCCATGACTGTCACAGTATATTATATTAAGTAGCAGAGGTGCATATTGTCTCATTTCCGGATGTGTAAGCTAAATTGAAACTGATTTTGATCAAATTTGCTACATATTGGAGCAGTGTTAGGGGCGTCGCCACTCCAAATCAAGCTGATGCCCTTTGTGTCAGCAAAATGTGCCCCTCAAAACACAGGAAATAGCGTTTCAGAGTGTCTATATTTCAACATTTTAAAGGGGAGCATGCTCCGCACTCCCCAGTAAGGTCAGGTCGCGCCTTCGGCCCAAGGTTGGTGAGCAGATCTCCCTCCCCATGCAAAATGTTGTCAGCCGCCGCTTCTGATCTGCTGGCTGATGATCCTAACCGTTATTGCTATTACTCCTTCACTGATCGAATTTCCATTACCTAAATATATTTTATAAAACAACAGTGGTGGCATATATTCTGTATTCACATTTGCAACGTTTAACCTTGATTGGTTAGTAAGACCACATTTATTCATGGACATATCACTGTCCATATAATAACGTCAAGCGTAATTACACGAATACAGTTAATATATTGATTCATATTCACCACATACTATTCTCGAAACGTCACAACAGACGTGTAATTACAAATGGTTAAAAAGGCCAGGGAGCGATAGATTACTGGGAGCAAATACCTGCTTAAATGTACCCGTTTTGTTAACTCGTTTTTTTATATCATATACGAGTTTTATTTTTAGTAGCTGAATCTGATGGAATAATAACCATTTTCTTTCTCAATATGACTATTGTATCTGCTATAAAGCAAGACACAATGCGGATGAATGCCATTGTATTAGTGTGAGGAAATCTGGTTATACTGACTTGACAATTAGGTGCAAATAATCAAACACCAATAATTATCGATACTGCTAGTTATCTCTTCATTATTATGCCCTGTTAGTGCATATTATGTGTATCACTGAACAGTCTGTTTTTTTTTACAGTATTGTGCAACTGATCAAAGGTGTCGAAAATCTTTATTAAACTAACACAATTTTCCTCCGAAACAGACTAAAGCTGCATTTCCACTTTATAAAGATGTAAAACATTGACCCCAGAGCAATAAAAACATGATGATATGTTATATATTAACAGTAGGTGTCATGTCCTGACTTTGAAGGGTCTTATCCTAGGATATGGTCAGTTAAAATACTCTACACACTTCATTTTGTACATTGATCAAGAGGTTGTACTTCACATATGTATGGGAATAAAAGGGAATGCAACCTTAACAATTGATTATTATTATTAGAAATGGAGTAAAGAAACATATTTATTTTTACCACCACACTGTATAAGACTGTTTGGAACATTTTATTTTTCATAACCTTCTTTTATTTCGAAAATTGCGATGCTGCTAATGTTGTTTTTTGAATATTCCAATTACATTGTTTTTACATGTTTTTTTTTAAAGAACAGTAGGTCTGTTTTTCCTGACCTGGTTCCGGTTTAAACTTCAACCAAATAACTGTTGGACAGATTTGACAAGCTGAAAAGGCATAAAATTACACCATTACTATAGTATCAATTATATTCATTGATGTAGGTTGACAGATTTGGGTTGGTTTTATATTATAATATTTCGTCTCTGTTTTCTTTCATTTGAGGTGGGTGAATCCTATTCTCAGCTATGGCTACAATCACACACTGCGGACTGAGGACATGTATGATACTTTGCCAGATGATTCGTCTGAACTGTTAGCAAATAAACTACACATGTATGTATTACATTAGTATGACTTTTATATATGTCATTGGGTTTCTGTAACCAACAAACTTGTTTCCTTAAGGTTTTGTCTCTTGATGAACAGTGTCACTTTGCATTTAGGATGGGAGGTTTCACAATAGCAATGTTAATGTAAATCTATGATTCCTAACATAGGTGCACAGTGAAGCTGTTCATTGATCAAGTTTCTTCCGTAGTAAACATTGTACCTACACAGACTAATATCATTATATATAATGTGTGGATGCTTGCAGGAAATGGGAAGAGGAAATATCAAATAAAAGCAATGGAAACGAACCAAGTTTATCTAAAGCAATTATTTACAACATTATGCCTTCATTGATATCATCGGGTGTGCTTCGTTTTATTAATGTATGTAGATGCGCAATTATCAAATTTCCTATTAACAATTACACAGCGTTTCCAGTCGTAAAGTACTAAATCAGTTTTAGCTAGGGGAAAATAGTAGATTTGTATATTGCCTTCTGACATTCTGAAAGTCTATTTTCTGCATCTTACATCGGGAAATAAAATGACCCTTTATCAACTAAAACATTTTTGTTGATGTTGTTGTTGTCCATAACGTAACTTACAGACTGCGATACAGATTTATAACATTTGTAGCAGTAACCATTTGATTGCATATATGAGACAGTGACACGTTTAGAAACACGTCGTGCACTTGTTCTGTCAACTAACACCATGTTGACCAATTCATATTCTTTACAGGAAAGCATCAAACTGTGTCAACCATTCTTGCTTGTTAAACTTATAAGTTATTTCGCATTGACCTCACCCATGGAATCAAGAGAAGCATATTTCTGGGCTTTGGCCATTGGCGTCTCTTTAGGATTGAATACTGTATTTCCTCAAATAAACGACTTTCTGTTTCAACGGATTAGCATACAAATGAAGGCTGCATGTTGTTCATTGGTTTATAGAAAGGTGTGTTTCTATTATATAATCTTTCCTTGAAGTTTATTTCAGTGTTGAGCACCCATTTAGGCTGATGCAATTACACGCATATTCACTAACTGAGTGTTCAGTAAAGCATGGGATTTTGGAAAACCTTTGGTTCACAGTGTTTGAGCCTGCTTAAGGGTATGAGGCAGTCTGGAGAATAAGCTGTGATGTACTTTTACATTGAGTTTGTCTAAAATCTCCTGAAATATAAAAATAACTACATGAATTATTAATCATGTATATTGCCAACTATAAATTGCTTGTCTGTGATGTGCTATGCAGTACAAGTTGGATGTTAGTTGGTAACCAGAATATAGTTGGTAACCAGATTACATGAACAAATACTTTCGATGTGATACTGCTTATAGATGACTCACATATCGTCAAATGTCATTTCAGTATTTTTCAGTCAATATACATTTATTTGTTTCTAACCTGGTAATTTCAATTTAATAGACAATATTTGACTCCATCGTACCCATATGAAATGATGCTCTAGAAACAGTCCATAATCTAAACATATTTGTTATATTCAACAGGCACTTAAGCTGAGTAACAAAGCATTGTATGAAACAACTACTGGACACATTGTGAATATTATATCAAACGACATTAACAAGTTTGACAATGTAATATACATTTCGTTTTGTTGTTGTGCGATTTCCTAATATTTTACATATGTTGGTCATACAATTATGCCATAAAATACATAGTTGAACACATACACTCTATGGTGTCGTGAAAACAATTACATAAACTACTTCGGACACATTAATAATTTGCCACGTGTTCTTGATGTATGACGGATTGTATGTGGCACATATACACTGTTCTAGAACGTTGTATTTATACAGTAGTGTTACTAGTTCTTTTCTAGAAACGTTATTGTATATTAACCATTTTAACCGTCATTGCAGCTATTTAGGTTTGTACATTATTTATGGGCCAGTCCTTTGATATTCGCCTTTATATTTATACTGGTATGGAAGATCCATGGTCCTTCCTGCTTGCCTGCATTTGGATTTGTATTTGTCATGGTTCTTGGTCAAGGATTCATGGGGAAAATACTTACTCGCCTAAGGTGAATACTCCTATAGCTAATTACAATCACAGAAACAGATGGACACATCGCAAAACAAACACAGTTCTAATACTTTTTAATATATATTATTTGTACGTTTCAGGGCAAAATCTGTTGTACTAACTGATGAAAGAGTTAGACTAATGAGTGAAGCTATTGCTGCAATGAGAGTTGTTAAGATGTATGCGTGGGAGGAATTCTTCGCAGAACGTGTGCGCAAAATTAGACAGTAAGAATAGTTACTTTTTGCAATCTCCTCGTCCAACTAAAATGTTTTATATTCACAGGTAATGATATTTAGAAGGAATAATTCCAATATCACAAATAATCAGTGGAACTAATAGTGTGACACATATGTAGTGTTTTATTTCGTTAAAAAAGAAAGAGATTTTAATGATGAAGTATATATCTTCTCTTCTTCGTTTTTTGCAGGAAAGAAATTCAAGTAATTCAAACTACATCCACCGTTCTTTCCCAATTCATGGGCAACCTACACTGCTTCATCCCAAGATTTATGTTTATTTTATTCGTCTTTTCTACTGTGGTTGGCGAGAACACTCTTGATGTAAAAACAATATTCCTTGTTTTACCACTGGTATCATGTATGCGTTTGGCAATTATGTTATATTTACCCCATGCCATCATTATACTTGCACGGGTCTCGGTATTGGTCAAGCGGCTTGAGGTGTGTTCATCATCTTATTTGATAACCTCATAGTAAAATACTAAAGTTACCAAGTGAAGCATGTTAAATCATCACGGACTTTTGACTGATAACGCCACACATCATTGAATTCCCCTGCAGATTTTCTTACTTCTTGACGAAGTAGAAAGTGTTTGGCAAAATTTAAATATCTCAAAGAAACAAGATAGCGTTGCATGTTTTGAGTGTGTTACTGGCTCATGGAATGAAGTAAGTAATTCATCTGATTTATTCAGCATATTGCTGGTCAATTTACCTAATGTAAATTTGTGACGGCTTAAACAAGTAACAAAATGATTAGTATTATCAATTAGAAGCATACCTTAAAATCATGCACGTGACCATATGGGTTGTCATGTTCCGGTTCCTTTTACTTTTGACAAATAATGATGAATGTTATGAAATATACGAATATTAATTCGTAAATTTTTACCATCTTGGCCTGATTTTGAATTCTCCTGATACAAATTTGTTCGCATCATAGAAAGTAGAACAACCAACTCTTAAAGACATTAGTTTTCATGTGACGCCAGGTGAGCTGATGATTGTGAATGGACCGGTTGGTTCCGGAAAGGTAAAATTGTTTTCATTTTGTCCGTAATCATCTATCTTTATTGACATAAAAATCAAGTTGCTAAGGAGTCATTAACTATGTAACTATTCAATTGTACGTTGGAAAAGTGTGCGTGTTTTGCATCAGTATTTAAGTGTAAGTCACATTGTAACAAACTGATTGTATACAATCTTTCATTTGCTTCATTCGGATTGTTCGTCTTCTATACATATAATAGTAGAAGTGTTATGAACATATAAACACATAGTATACCAAGTTCGATTAACGGCCACGGCCTAATGATATGGTATGAGACAAACTGTCGGGATTTCACATCCTATTTATTTGCATGGTGTTGACATGTATGTTTCCTGCTCGTGCGAACAGTTATATAGACTATCATATTCAACCGTGCGCCGACTCTTTTTTGAAAATTTATGCCATGCGTACGCCATATAAGTGCTCCGTCGCTGGAGGGCGCGATTCGGGAATGGTGAATCCTGGGTAATCAGCCTGTCGTACAGATGTCAGCAGTCATGGTTTAGCTGCGTTTTAAAGACATATAAGGATTGATGAATACAACATATTTAATTACTGGATATGTAACAATAATGCACAACTGTACATTCAATTACTACGCCATTCACGATATTCAGATTTTTGCAAATTAGGTAATTACTATATTCAATTCTTGATATTTGAAATAACCGGGACGAGTGATACGAGTTTACATGTATGGTTACACTATGTCTGTTGCATTGAATTTTTTCATAACGGTGTTTATCTTACATTGCTAGTCCTCTTTGTTAATGGCGTTATTAAACGAACTACCAATATACCAAGGGAATTTGACAGTGAAGGGAACTATCGCGTATGTATGTATGTATGTATGTATGTATGTATGTATGCCCTGGGTATTCTCAGCATCACTACGACAAAACATTCTCTTTGGACGAAGTTACGACAAAACTAAATACGAGGAAGTACTAGATATATGTGTTCTTGAAAAGGTAAGACATTTTACCCAGATCAGTATCTCGCTCGTGGAGAAAGTAAATATAAAGAACAATAAACGGACATTGTTTGTAACTTTTGAATACGGTTTAAATATTTATTTTATTTATCTATATGTGTCTCCTAGGATATCCAGGATCTACCCCATGGTGACTACACATTAGTTGGAGAAAGAGGTGTTGCTCTGAGCGGAGGTCAACGAGCAAGGGTTAGCTTAGCAAGAGCTCTGTACTCTGATGCCGATATATATCTTCTCGACGATCCACTAAGTGCTGTCGATGCTGGTGTTGGAAGACATATCTTTAATAAGTATGATATATACACATTAACACCTTCAATATACACTGGTCAATTACTTATTTAAATCACCACCACCGTCATCATCATCATCATTGATATGGAGGGATAGATTACCGTCAGTGTCGCTCAGTCAGTTAATTGTCGGTGAAGGATATTTGTCACACAGTGACTTCAGTTATAATTTCATAAGTTGTGGTTGTTGTGCTGTGTAGTTTGGATGTATGCTGTTTTCTGTTGAGTGGACATAGGGAGCTGACACTGATATTCTACAAATGTTAAAAGCAACCAAACTTGTTAAATCTAGTGACCAGTTTCGTATGATGATTTGGTGAATTCATCATTTACCAGCTGTGTATTTATGCTTTTATATAATATCGTTAGATATTCAAGATGGCTGCCCGATCGTAAACATGTGTACATTCTGTAGTAAGATAAGTAAGATTTTTGGAATGGATTGATATCGTTTTGCAATAACGTTACTAGTGAGTGCCATAGAGTTGCGTAATCAAGTTTTGTACGATACTGAAATATTATCATTATCATTCATACTTTGACTTGATTTGTGTAAACATTGGCTACACCGTTGTAGGATTTTATTTGTCATTTGCAGGAGTGACCTCGTTCTCTATTTATTCTTCGTCATTTGTGGATTGGCACAATATTTAGCAATAGGTCAAAGCAATATTCTCGTAGCGACAAACAATATTATTTATAATAGAGTGATAATTATTAATGAATATATATCATTTCATTGATTGATATGAATTAGTATACAGGTCAGTGGCGAGGGTACATGTCAGAATGTTACATACTTTTTTCAAGAGTAAAGCTGATAAATATATATATTTCTATACCATACTTAAGTCATATACTATGCATATATTATTACAGTACTACAACAAACACTTGTTGTTTTTTTAGAGGAATAAAAAGATATTTATCCTCAAAAATATGTATCTTAGTGACCCACCAACTTCATTATGTGAAAGATGCCGACAAAATTCTTAACTTAAAAGAGGTAACAAATATATTTATACATTTGTCACTATAGTTTCAGTAGTATTTGTTCATTCGTATATCGTCCATACCATAGATATGTTTTTGGAAATTTCGCTGAAGTAAAACATTTGTTTTACTTCATATATTGTTGTACTATTTCGGTATTTGCATTCAATTCATGTTATAGTTCATAAGGCACCTTGTGATTAATACAGTAAAAAAATGTAGACTTAATAATTATTTACGCTTAAGCCAATGTTACTGCGACTTGCATGTATATGTGTGTATATATCTTTTAGTTCATTAATAGCACATACATTTAAAAATCATGTTATGATATCAGTTCATTGGGACTACAAATAAGCTTTTATTTTTTACTCGGTTTAAGACATGACTTTTCACACTTGGTTTATCAGGAAACACGTTCGTATGATTATCTCTTTCATTTTAATTATCTGTTTTCTTAAATAATAAGCACTGGAGTAACATTATAATATTATTTAAGTAGGCAATCATTGAGTTATTAACTTTTAATATATTTCCTCTTTTTTAGTATTTTTCTTTTACATTATTTACAATAAGCATTGCATCTGATAATAGTTAAGCTAAATTACGTAATGACATTATGTTGCTTACTTTTATTAATAAGGGCAAAATGTTGAAAGTTGGCAGTGAAACAGAACCATCTAGACTAAATGATGAAGACTTGTTGAAAAAAAGTAAACAATCAACAAGCAAACAAACAACAATAGACGATGATAAATGTGCATTAGAATTATTACAAGTACTCACAGACGTAGAACCGGTGTCAAAGTTGACATCTTCACTTTCAAGTGGTTCATCAAACAGCATGACGTCACACTCATCTGCCTGGAATCTGGTACGAGTATAATACACCGAATTGTTTTTCTACTGTGATACTTTAATGTGCATACAAAATTAATACAGATAGATAATACCAAAATGTATGCATATAATAAAGCTGTCACTCAATATAAAATAAAATAAATTTACTATTCTATTCTTAGTTAGACGGCGGGACTGGTGAGGGTGTTGTTGATATTCAGCGGATTGAAGAAGAAGATAGAAGTGTTGGCATAGTAGATTATAAGATATACAAAGGATACTTCAAAGCTGGAGGAATGCTTTTACTTATGTTTTCACTGATAATTGCCATGATTGCTCAGGTAAAATTATAAGGTTATCACTTGTTCGTGGAGTTGGTTGTTGCAGTCATTCAGTCGACATAGTTAGAGAAATTGTATCATGTGATTTATGTTTCTCCGTGTACTGTTCGAACACGCTTGAAATAATAACAGTTAATATCAATGCCATGTATACCATACCTTATCAGTAGTGACCCTAAACGTCACAGATGTGAGTAACATGCATCAACGTTATAGATATAAAACAATACGTGTTTACATATATAAGAGACACGGGTGATACAGACTATATATCTCTTCATATTTTCCAGACGGTGATAATTTTGACTGATTGGTGGCTAGTAGTCTGGGCCCAAGCAGAAGGGGAAAAACATACACTAGACATGTCGTATGAAAGCTTAAATTCTAGTGCTCTAAACCAGGTTGGTTTGCGGTTGTATTTCACCCAAATGAGACCATGTTATAATTGCTAAATAAAGCATTACTTTGATGGTATCAACGTTCACAAAAATGTACAGTACCAATTCTACAAGTCGTTGTAACTTTAGTTTGGTAATGACCAGACACGCTGCCAATGTTCAAATATCACAGAGATCTGGTGTAATGTTTTTGTTCAGTTTGGTGGCAGATTAAAAATCATCGATGTGGAGCATGTCACGTTGAAACCACTGGCCATTATTAGTCAGCGATAATAATATATATATATATATGTATGATATGAATGTAGACTAACTCGTTCATCAATGATAAGCTGATAGCATTTCGGGTAGCTATTGGCACTAAACACCACCAAAACCTAGTATTCTAGTATCCTATGATCCGTTAAACTTACAGTCTGCCATCGATAACTGTGTAGTGTGGTTCATTATATAGTGGTGCACATAGATCATAATTCTTTAAAATGTAGGCTTGAATCTCAAAACAATTGTGTATGATAATTATATTGGTAATATAGTTTTGGACCAGGTGATTCAGGTGTGATTATCGATTCCAAACCATTTTTTACCAGTCAAGTTGATCATCGTTCAGTATGGGCTCGTTTAGTTGGGCTTATCAAGCTTAATTTCATCTAATTAGTAAAGTGCTGTGTATTCATTCGTCTGCTTGTGACAATGGTGTGTTAATTTAACACAGTATGTATTAATAGCAACTCAACTCAATCAAATTGCATAGAGGATATACAAACGCGTTTTTTTTTACGATTCCTTCATGTAAAACATGGAGTGTGACGCTTGGTGTAATTGTTATTATACTGCCCTCCAACAACTGTATTTGATACAGGCCTTGTGAGCATATATTTGACATGGTATTTTTTGACATTTTGACTTTTTAACTGCACTGAATATACGTCATTTGGTAACTTGAATGTTAACAGGACCAAGGATCTCTTCTATGTTCTTTCAAGCAGAATTAAGGTTACAAAGCAGAGCTTCATGAATCGCTCAGCTAGATTGTGTTAATAATTTTATGGCTGATAGTGTACATATTGTTTGTGATTCTATCTTCGTATTTAAAATTCCTTTTTATAATTCCTTTTCAATTTCAGACCCACGTCACATATTCTGGTTTGGCCAGGGTACAGTACATTTGCATATACACTGGCTTGATTGTTGGTGTGTACGTATTTGCATTATTTAGATCGTATCTCCTATACAAAATATGCGTGATTGCTTCCAAGAATTTACATAACAGAATGTTCAGAGCTATCATCAGAGCACCTATACTATTCTTTGACTTGAATCCCGCAGGCGAGTAGAAATATCTATTATATTCAGCCCTAAGCTAAGATATTAACGTTACGTTCTTGCAGAAAGGTTACTTTTCTGACAGAAATGACTCAGTAATATCATCTCGTCATGTTCAGGTCGAATATTGAATAGATTTTCCAAAGATATTGGTTTTATGGATGATGTACTGCCTATGAACATATGTGATTATATTCAGGTTAGTTACGAAGTAATTATAAATAGAACAATTACTCGGATTGTGCAAAACAAATGGGAAGTGTATTTTCAATAGTAAGCAAGACGTGTGTTTTAGTATAACGAATGTGACGGAGTTTATTATTGGGGACAATAATATTATGTTATAGCATAGATTGTGAAAAATGTCTATAATAAATCTGTATTATTT